CGCGGGGGCAAGCTGCTCCCCGAGCTGCCCCCGGCCCTGGGCTGAGGGCTGCTCAAGAGAGACAGCCGTTTCTAGAGCAGGGCGAATTATTCATTAATTTAATTAAAAACAAAACAAAACAAAACAACCCCAAACAGTGATGCAGAAGAGACTGTAGGAACCGAGCAGAGCGGAGAGCGTCAGCAGGTGGTGTTGGGGAACAGCCTCACCGCTCCTCCAGGAGGAAAAGGCTACCGAGCTAGCAGGTTGCTCAAGGTAGGACACAGGGGGCTATGGCCAAATCTCCTCTCCAGCAAAAAGGCTGGGCTCAAAGCGGAGCCGCAGGAGGTGCCCCGGAGAACAGCAGAACAGCTCAGCAGTTGCTCCAGAGCCGTTTTAAAATGGGAGCTGCTCTCCCTCTTCCATGACCTCGATTTTAAGAGAAGCAGGATTTTTCATCAGGATTTAATCTAGCCTAGATAATCGCAGGCTGCTACCAAAGGTTAATTTTGCTCTGTAGCCTTCTCCCCAGGCTGCTGTCTCTGGCCACATCTGGTAATTGGGCACCTACAGAACAAGTCAGTTCTGCTTGCTGGTTGAGTAGAACAAATTGAACTACCATAAACGCTCCGTTCTCCCTGTGGCTTTCATCCAGCTTGCAGAGTGCCACCTAAAACCTCCACATCCTATGGACAACAGGAGAAACTCCAGTTAAGTTGGCAATTCTAGCGTTAAGAATAGAGACATCACCTATTGTAAGAGAGGCCTGGGGAAAAGGTGTTTGACAAAAGCACGGTGAGTGGCCTTTGGTGTAATTCCTTCAAGACTGTAAAACACATGGTTATGCTTGCATTTTTCCTAGCATTCTGTTTGAAGGTGCAGCTTTACTATTACACTCGCTTTATACAGGGGTTTTGTTTAGCTTTGGGGTTTTTTAAGTCTCTCTCCCCAGTTAGCCATATCAAGAAATTCTTTCCTTCAAGGCGATAAGTTAGGATTACCTCCCCTTAGTCCAGGAGAACTAAAATTAGTGGAAAGATTGGATGGGACAGCGCAGCTCACTGAGAAAGCAGTGAGTGCCACGCGACAGAGTGGGTATATTGCCCAGGAAAAGCTACCTGAGGGTCAAAGTGCTGCTTACCTTGGAACTGTGACAGTGTGGATAAAAGGGACTTTCTAAGTCGTTTCTGAGCTTCCTCATCCACGTAGTCACCGTACACTAGCAGACAGTAGTGAAAACCTAGGTTTTATCTGGAGTCCTTACAGCCTCTGCTCCAGCTGCTTTCATGATTCCTACCCTAGTTCAAACAGAGCAATCTGTTGCTGAACATTGGCAAAGGCAGGCAGACGTAAAGAAGACAGGCTCCTCTTTTGTTCCTGAACAGATCTACAGAAAGAATGAAAATAATTTTGAAAGTCTACTGATTTTACAAGACCTATTAGGTTCCCCCTCATGTGCAATCATCTGTTTTTCCACATTAGCATGGAAAATACACAACACTTAAGGTCTCTCTCTCAAAAAAAAAAAAGCAAGCCCCCAAAAATGGTGACCATTGCTGCATCTGCTTCGCCTCGAACATTTTAGCCTAGGACATACATACCAATACTATTTTAGAATCACCAGATAATCATTCCCTGAGCAGGTCTCACCAGCATCACGTAAAACAGCAGGAAGACAGCTTTTAGCCCACAAATGTTCCTGCTACCCGCTAAATATTACTAGAAAATCAGCATTATTTTCTGACATCCACGATTTCTTCAGTAGGTAGGGGTTTTGTACGGTATGACCTGTTCTGACATTAGGAACTGCATCATTGCAAGGTCCCTTACAGTCAGTCTGTGCTGCTGGGATGTATTTCATAATGCTTAGGAGACAGTAGCAATAAATAGTAGTTTTTAAGTCTTTCTCCTCAACTAACCGTATCAAGAAATTCTTCCCTTTGAGACAGTAAGTCAGGAAGCCTTGCAGAAAAGGTCCAGAAAACTTGGTTACTGAGGTTTTCTCCTTGGGTTTTGCTAGGGGTGTTAACAGCTTACTAGAAGTGAGGTTTGAAAAAGTAAAGGCCCAAGTTTACCTACGCATCTCCTTCTCTGGGTTACCAGAACTCTGTTTGACTACGAAATACAAAACAAAATCTGTTTGTTGGCACAAACAACAGTAAAGCTGCATCAATTAAAGAAAAAAAAAAGGAGAGACTAGCATTAGAGTGGTTTAATAAAAAAAAAAAAAAAAATCCAACTGTTCCCCAGGAAGCCATACTCTTTTTAGGAGACTAACTATCTTATTTTGTGTTTACTCCAAACTGAACATCTGATCAAAACAGGTAACGCTACAGCATTTTCAAGTTGCCTTTAGCAGGGTAGGTTTCATTTAAGTCTAAATCAGCATCAAGCTCCACAGCAAGACCTCAGTGACAGTTTAGTCATACTTTGAACAGTTTTAAAAGTCTCTTCAGAATTCAGATAGGCTGTTTCAGTACTGGAATCATTATAATAAATAACAGAATACAGATTACATAGTGACTGGTTTGTTAATCATAATTCAGGTAATAAAGTATCCACTACATCCTGCTCAAAGCAGCATTTATTAAAGATAGTATCAAGATAAGTCAATGTATAATGAAGCTTTCCCTCCTACAAATATGTAAACAAGTTGACAGCAAGTTATTATTACAATATAAAAATTAAAGCATACATTGCATTTTTTTAAAGCTACAAACTTCAGTCTCAATGTAGACAGTCTCCGGTCCGTAACATTTAAAAATATGAGTCCTTGAAAAAAATGTTACAGTATTGCCTTTGCATATAGACATTTTTGTAGAAAAATACTTAAAAATACGAACTTCCCATTAATAAAAGCAACACCAAAAATAAAACGCATCTTTTGTCATGAACAGCATGTTAAATGCATCTAGCATTTACCCACCATTCCGTTTACACCAATTATCTTCTGTTCATTTTAAAATTCATTATAGTTTGCACAAAGTATCTTGGATAATATTCAGTTACTTTCACATAGCAAAGCAATTAGCAATAAGTAGCTAATATTGGCAATTACCTTGTAATCAGAGTCTGGCCTAAGTTTATTTGCAACTGAGGCCATCAATTTAATCCTCATCTCAAACTGTGTATTTTAACATGTACAGTAGGCTCTTGATAAGAAATCTGAGTCAGTTCAGATATATTTTGGAAAGGTTTGA